TAACTAATCTAAATAACTCTACCTAAAGGTCTTATTACTAGTGTACCCTAAGCGCCTATAAACATAAAGGTAACTTACTAACCCCTATCTAAGAAGATAATAACGTTAATTAATAGACCTTAGTCTAATTAAGGCTAAGGTTTATTAATTAAATATCTACCTCTAGTTAGCAGTTAAACTTAGTTAGTAATACTATTATTACTAAGTAGTATAAAACTATATATAAAAGGTCTTATTATTTAGTTATATAGTTATAAGGTAGGTAAAGTGCTTAATTAGGCTAAAAAGGCCTAATTAGGCGTATAAGATTAAAAGAATATCTAGGATTAGTTATATTACTATAATAATAAAGTTATAGTTAAAGGTAGAGGTTAACTTATAGGTATTAAATTCTATATTCTATCTATCTTATTAGTCTTAATTAGTATTTAACGTCCTAATTAGGACAATTAAGGCTCTATTAGCTAGAAAAACACTTATAAAAACTACTTAAAGAAAAACCTAAAATCCTGCCCTATTCTACTATATATTTACTTTAAGGAAGAGAACACTACTATATTAAAAAGTTAAGTAATATAGCTAGTATATAGTAGTAAGTAAAGTAAGTAAATCTCTTACTAAAAGTATTCTTATATAAAGTTATTTAATATATAGCTCTTATAGCTATCTATAATAAAGAGAGTCTTAGATTTAAGCCTTTTAGCCTTAGCTACTGTTACTAGGATAAAGATAGTCTTTAGCTAGTTAAAGCTAATCTTATTAAAAGTCTAGCTATTCTCTAATAATATAAATTACTAATAGGCAAAGGATTTAAGTTTAAGAGGAAACTACTATTACTATACTATAACTTTCTTAAAGATAACTAAGGGAGGTAGTCTTTTACTATTAGTAAAGATACACTTAAGAATAGTTAACTAAGTGTAGCCTTTAGAAACTTAAATGTATATAAATTACTTACTAGACTTACCTAGTACTAAAGACTACTAAGCCTCCTCTTTAGTAATCCTAGTCTTATCTATATTTTATCTAAGGTATTAGAGAATATCCTTAATAATAAGTAATATAAGCAAGTAAAAGAGCTCTTTAATCTTCTCCTTAGTAATATACTTTATCCTCTTAAAGCTAATCTTTTTAGCCCTTAGAGTGCCTATAGATAGATTTCTTTTTTAGAATTTATTTAGCTATTTTCTGCCTAATAGCTAGTTATCTTCTTTAGCCTTAAAGATCTATTAGGCTATCTCCTTAACCTATGAATAACTTAGTGTAAATCTAAGGGCTTCTTGGGCTAATACCTAGTTAGTAAGGCGTTTTTCTTGTATAGTACTGAGCCTCTGATGGTCTACTTTGGCCTCTTACTGCGATGTGGCACCGTTAAGGCGCCGCTATAGTGTGGCCCTTGGTATACCCTAGCGCCTAGCTGCTTCACAGTGGCCACCACCTTTAAGGACTTTATTAATTACTTACTGTAACGCTTTAGGGGTATAACTGGGCATAATGATGCATTTAGTATTTTTAAAAGAATTATTTAGATTTTTAGTTGTTAGGATATTTTGCTTTGAAAAGGTTAGTTATTTCCTGGCAGTGTAAAGTGAGGGGTAAATTGGCAATGTTGATACGTGGCCCGTTAAGGGGGGTGGCCCGTTATGTGGGGTGGGGTCTTATCCGGTTAAGTCAGGACACTGCCAATCGTAGAGTTGCGCTGGTGGGTGTGGGAACAGCATGGTATCCGTGCAGGTCATTTGAACTTGCAGCCGCGACTCGAATTGGATATTTTCCAGGGCTTTCTTCCAGTGTGTTGACATTCTGCAGCGGTTAGCAACAAACTGTGCTGATGCATTTCCGCATTGCGCTACGTCCGAGACTCAGTACACGCCGACTTCGCTAGACACTGCTCCACCTGCCTGTCTTGGTAGGCTGTTGCATGAATCCCGGGGGTTCATTGGTTGGGGGCTTGTGCTAATACTCTTGCCCAGGGTACCGATGCGGCTTCGACCTGCTCACGCCAGCTGGGCAAAACATCGATTAATGATGAGTTTCTACAAGCTATCAGCTGTTATAGACTTATTATCCTTTCCTCTAGTTATTGCAGCCTACTCATTTGCTACATCTTGCGAATAACGACTGCTGAATGATGCGCCCGGCAACTACATGTCGGTTGTGGCCATGCTGGCTCATCCTTTCAGTCGAGGGTCCACCCACATCAAGAGCCCGGACTGCCGCGATCAACCTGTTGTAGATTACGCGTACCTGTCCCATCACTTGGATGTCGAGATACTCGCACGTCATGTCGCGCAGATCGAGAGGTTGCTCGAGCATCCCGTGTTAGCCTCTGTTTGCAGACCGTCCGGCAACCGCCTCCCCGCCGATGCGGGAAATCGATCGTTGGAAGACATAAAAGATGCGGTCCGAAGGTACGGCGCCACCAATCATCACCCTTGTAGAACATGCGCGATGGTGGAGGACGGTCTCGGCGGGGTTGTTGTTGATGCCGATTTGCGAGTGAAGGGGACGAGCAACCTGCGCGTTTGCGACGCCAGCATCTTCCCCATCATACCGCGGGGCAACATCCTGACTACGGTGCATGGGGTTGCGGAGAAAGCGTCCAAGTTCATTCTAGCTTCCGATAAATAGAAATAGAAGAACGGAGCGTGCGTGCACATTCCGCTTTCTAAACATGCGACATGGAAGCAATGACCTATTTACCTCTTAACTTTGAGGAATGAACAGATGAAAATATAATGAAACACAACCAACTTAGACTTATCACTCTAACCATTTTCCGTCGAGGAAGTACAGCAATATGACTGCCAAACCATCAGAGCTGCTACCATCATTGTTGTCTCTACAGGCCAGGTACATGTAGCGTCTAACAAGGTAACTAGGCCGTGAACGATCTCACTTCTCTTTAGGTTCAGCACACAAGTCTACAAAACTCACGTTGGTTGAACTACCAAGAATAAAGTCGCAAAATGCAAAATAAAATGACAAGAGTGGGATTCGAACCCACGCCAATTACTTGACTAGCACCTGAAGCTAGCGCCTTAGACCGCTCGGCCATCTTGCCTTGATGATTTGAGGCTTTTACCAATCCTAGTACTGGAGCACCACAGGGATCACGAGAAAAGTGAGAATGTCTCTATTATCACGATGGAAGTGAAGGGTTTGAACAAAGTCAGAGACTCATCAGATCAACCAGCAGCTATTGTCATAACTAGACATTTAACATATTTATTTCACCACAACTTTGTGCTTTGTTCCACCAAGTCACTGTTCAAAAGCCCTTTGCTGTTCAGCCAGTCCCTTTTGGTACATTGCATTTTCTCCGTTGTTGTTTCTTCACGCTTCCAGTTCAGTATGCATGCAGTTCAGACCCACTGCTCAGAAATCGGCAATCATGGAAGCTCCCTTTACTCATAAAGCTCTTGAGAGCAAGTTTCTTTCTGCTCCAACATGCCCGCATTACACAACATCTTCGTTCTCAAGCTCGAAGTTCTCACTGCGGTTCCAAAACTAGAGACTCGCCATACCTGCCACAGACAGCTGTGCTACTCTGTTCCAAACTTTTGAAGGTTCTTCGCACTTATTTTCACGAAATGTTTCAACCCACAGCAACAGCTTCTTCCAGCTCAGGCTGAAGCTCGTTTCCGGTCGACATTGAGGCCATCCGGCATGCCGCATCACAAACACTTTCTTCACCATTGTTCGGTCCTCTTCTTGGTGTGTAGACACAACAGTACAACATATACAGGCGCCAACAAGGTCGCGGCTTGGAGACGAGTACACAAGGAATTGTTCAATCCTACAAGTTACAACAAAGACGTCAAGGGCACTACAGTCACTACTTTTTGATCCCAATCCTGGCGAATTGGTCCTTATCCCTACCCAAGATCCCTCTCTTCAGAGAACTCACTAAAAAATTCTGCCAATTAGATGACCTGACCTGCCAAGATGGCCTCACCTTCCAGCCGCGACGAAGGTGTCCAGCTCAACAGCTTCACAGCCATGGCGAGTGACCAGCAGACTTCAAGCTCCAAGACACGTTCGAATGAGCCTGGCCAGAACAGGGGAAAAGGTTCAATTAATCGAGACCAAGAGAAGTTGCTCGTCAGGCTGTGTGGTAGTCGCGATCGCAGCCGCGCCTTGCCCAGTTTCAACCCCATCTGCGACAGCCAGGACACGGCCAGGGCTGGCCCAGCAATATTTCCTACCCTTCACTCGCGCCACGGCGCGCTGCCTACCATTCCTGAGATCCGCGTCAAGGGCCCAGACTCCAGAGATGCCCGGACAGATGCCGGCGGCAGCGTGTCGCCCTCCAACCATCCCCAGTCCACCGACTACCTCCAAGTGCCTAGCAGCTCCAAACCTCGAGCCCAGCACAAAAGCCAGACCGTACAGCCCGGGACCGGCAGAAAGAGGACGTTTCTGGGCTTCGTCGGCTGCGCCCTGGGCCTCCAACGCGTTAGAACCTATGGAGACCACGAGCCCCTCGTCGGCCGCAGATACCGCGCCAAGCGCAACACCTTTCGAATGATAGCGCTCTTCGGTATCCTCATGATGCTCAACCTCGCAGCTTCAATCGCCCTGTTCGTCTACTTCGCCAGCATGGGCGGCGCCGGCCCCGAGTGGTTCGCCTGGATCGCAATCAGCGCGGCGGGTTGGATCTGGTCCTTCCTGGCCTTTATCATGGCGAAGCAGTCCAAGAAGCGCGTACTGCACGATGTAGAGATCGCCCGGCAAAGCATCCGACTGGGCAGCCGAGTTCGAGACGGCACGGCGGCCCCGGTTGCAATCATTGGTGGTCCTAGTGCGAATAAGCAGCAAGTCATGCGCGCCGGCTCCAGTGCTGCGACTAGTGCGGCTCCGGTGATCTTCGGGAAACACCCGGAACTCGAACTCGTTCACGAGGAGGATTGGGCGCGCGATGCAGAGGATCGTTTGAATATGCTGGTTGCCAACTAGAGACCTCAAGGCGGAGATGCATAGTCTCACTTGGACGGACTGAAGGACGGGGGTTCTCGCAGTGCTATATTCCATTTCATCAATTAGGGAAATGGGTATCATCAACTCTTCTCAAGCAAATTGCCACTCGACCTGTTTTGTGAATCTACTTATGGGTTGTTGAGTGGTTATGGAAACGAATGTTATCCCTGATGATTCGCTCGACATGCATGGCAGTTGATAAGATGTGGATACAATGTGACCCCGTCACCTCTCCAAAGTCAATCCCAAGTTGAGATAGAGAGCAACCGGCGGCAACCTGTACTGTTCTAGTCGGTCGCAGGTAGAGGTAGCATCACACCTAGACACAATCAATCAAGAAACTTGAGAGACTATTTTCCATGTTTCATTCCATTATCAGCCGTTGATTGACACCTTGGCCCAACATTTACATTCCTTCTAAATCTGTGGAATATCCTGGGTTATGATTTCGTTCAGTCACGTGGTTCAAGAACGGCCGTCAGCAAAAAGCTGAAGTTGATGGAGATTGCCGTGCCTTCGGGGCATTGAGTTTGGCAATCTCGTTTGAGACATCAACAAAACTCAAGCTCAATTTCCAGAATGAGGTTGTTGGAACGGGGGCTAATTGCTGCTGGCAACCGAGCATTCCACAGATGGCTTCGGTCCGAACTCTGGTGGTGATTTGGAGTGAAGCCCAAACAAATGTGCTTGGCTGCTCCTCTTCTTCACAATAAACTGCTATACTGATCTAGCAGAGGTCTCCTCTGTTGTTCCTTCCCTCTGCGTGAAAGACACTTCACCCGAGATAATTGCTGCTGATTGGGTGTGGCACGCGCGTGGTCAGCTGTGAGAATCCTGCGCCATCGCGTGCCCATCTCATCTCATATCAACAATGGGATAACATTTCCCACCTTCACCTACTGCCTGCTTCCTTTGATGGTCTTGAGACCTTACTTTCTTCTCTTGCCGCGGTCTTTTGCAAGTCCTCTTTTGCCACAAATCCCGCCCTCCCCTCTCTGTCTTTATACTCCCTCACCCACAGTCACTACCGCGAATGCCTTCAGTTTAATATAGGGCAGCGACAAAAATAACAACAACGGCAATGGGGTCAATCCCACCACAGGTCTCGTTCAGTTCTGAGTCAACTGCGGTCGCCAGTCACAGAACAGCGTACCCCTCGTTTGAGGAGCTCACTTCCTTCAAGCTGCCTCTGAAAGATGATATCGTCGACTCAACCATTGACGAGGTGCCTGACCACTTGAATGGGCTCAAGAACACCCGTCAGATTGCTCCCAACCCGTCCACGCCCAGACATCCCTCTCCCGTCAGCACTGAGACCTCGGATCGCGACTTCACCCCCGAGGACACCCCTTCGACCATCCATGGAGAGTCCATGTTCTATCCGCGTCACCCGCTGGCCAACCTCGCGTCCTCCCTCAAAGTGCCTGCATCCCCTAGGTGGCCCTTCCAAAATGTTACCCCTCGAACCACGGCCATGGTGCCCGTTTCCCAAAGCATCACCAGCTCTCCCAGAACCCTGAACCTGGCCACCAAACGCAGCACCATAGGTCACGTCAGCGTGTCCGAGTCCTTGGATGAATTCCAGATCAGCCATCCGAACGCAAAGCTCCTCTCGCTCCACCCTCGGCCCCTCACGTACAACCAGACCGGACGCAACCTCGCAAAGATCCCGGAACTGGTCGAGAAGCCGGAGTGGAACGTACAGCCCATCCAAGGCATGCCGATGACACACTATGAGAAGCCCAGACACCCGAGCCCGCGCTTCCTCAAGATCCGCCGCCGCCGCCGCCGCGAGAGACACGGCCGCTCCGCCAAGCCCCAGACCGTCTGGTACCAGCGCATCAGCATCGACAAGAAGGTCTTCCGCGCCTCGGCCAGCATCGCCATGTTCTTCGTCGTGAACTCGTTCATCTCGGCTTCGGCCCTCATTACCCTCACAACCGCCAGGCTCCCCCTGCCCCACGGCATCGTCGTCTGGGTCATCGTCAGCCTCACCACCTGCGCCTTCACCCTGACGACCCTTTACCTCATGCGCAAGTTCCGCAACGCCGTCTCCTACGACGAGGAGCGCCGCGGCCGCTCCCCCTACCCCAACCTCTCCCTCGACGCCTCCCACATGTGCAATATGGACTTGCCCGCCAGCCCCACCGAGGTCCTTCACCGCCGACAGCTCGGGGCCGCCGCCGAGAAGGAGCAGATGCAAGCCGAGCGGACGAAGAACGGGCCCGTCGTGGACTCTCGAGGATCGGAAGGGACCCGGGCCGCCCAGCCCTGTCCCGCCGGCCCTTTTGGCACTTTCTTGCCGAAATACCCTCGTGACGTCGTCGCCGAAGACTACTGGACCGACAACTCCGTCATCGTGGCTACCGGCTCCGAGACCAGCTCGACGACTGCCGTCATCCCCTCGACGCCGAAGGCGACAGCGGAGAGACGCCGAGCGGGACTGTTTGACAGCGGCCCACTGCCGCAGCAGGAGGACGACGAACACGGCTTGAGAGACCTGGAGTTTTCGCGTTGGGACGGATGGTTGGGGTGGGACTGAATGGGACGCAAAGCGCAGGCGATCTCGACAATGATACCCGGTGGCGATGGCGTACTATTCAGTTTCGGGCGTTTTTCTCTTCTTTTCTCTTCTTTTTAAAACGGTCGACGCGGATACGCTATGAAACACACAATGAATTTGGGGGGGGGGGGGCATTGAGTAAGAGACTTGGCAAGCCGTATCAGGGTGATTACTGTGCGAAAATACTATCAATGATCATGCATGCGTGACACCACGAGACACATTTGGCTTGCGTGGCCAAAACTCCGTGCCTACAATGCCATGCTTGATGGCAGTACGGCTTACCCTGTGAAGCTGGCTAACTGAATGGTGACTCGACTGGTTGTAGTTGGTCCAGTTCGATCTGGTGTGAGCATGCGCCTGATTGCCCCCCGCAACAAACCCAATACTATACTCCCGAGACTTTTTGTCTCTTCTCAGCCCCCCTGTACCTTCTTCTCCAATGTGAAAACTGATTGCATTGACCTGAGCCTCGAATCATCTCAATATTCTTCACGCTACTGGAAGCAAAGAGAGAGGAGACCCCCCTGAATCTCTCGCTGGAACGCATGCGAAATGATAGACTACAACTCAAAATAGAGCCAGGAAAGATCAGCGCCTCGAGTCCTGTCATCGGACAGCTGCACTCTCTGACTGTTTTTCTTGCCATAGGTATGAGCAACGGCAATGTATATGCACTCGATGAACAGGATTCTTTTGATATATCGTTATCCCGGTGAATGGAGTGAGCCTGGGTGGTCGTAGTCGACTCGGGCCTAGTATCTGCTCTGCAACCCCGGCTATGGGTAAGGTCTACAAGGCGCTCCGAGAGCCACATAGTCGATGCCTCTTCTCGCTTTGCACTTATCCGGCATGCCTGACCCCTTGATCATTCTTCCCATCCTCGTCGTCAGAGGAAGAGAGCAGGGCGTCGTCTTCCAGCACCCAGTCGTCCAATAGGATGTCCTCAGCATCCAACCTCCTATACTTCCTCGTCCTGTACTTTCTGAAGACAAAGACAGCCCCAACGACAGCCCCGGACAAGACGGCGACAACCAACCCGATCGAGACCCAAGCCCTCCAGCCTTTCAAACAGCAGGGGTACAACGACATGTAGATTCCCACGCCCCACTCCATCCACCCTAGTTTCCGCACGTTGTCTGGCTTCAGGCCCTTCCGGACGAGATGCTTGTGCCGCGGGCCCGTAGGGCCGGACTGAAATCGTTTGAGCTTGAACCGCGGCACCGTTTTCTGGCGCGGGTCCGAGTCCGGGTACGACACGTCCCCCCAGCGGCCCGAGTAGTAAAAGAAGGACGTCAGGTTTGACGACTCCGGTGGTGCGGTGGGTAGTTGGCCGGGCGGGTCCAGTCGAGTCAAGGTAAATGACTTGGGGTCGAAGCGATAGAAGTAAGCTGAAAGAACGGGATCCCATCTCTTTCCTTGGTCGCAGTAATCTACCAAGACGGCATTGTGGATTTGGTCGCTGACAGACTGGGTTAGACAGAGGCAGGCGGATACATAGGAATAATGAAGCTTACCCTGGCGTTGGATAGTTTGCATGAGATCCACATGCACTATATACTATTGGCTATGGCACATTAGTGAATCGATAGCTCATCGGAAAAAAGGGCCGGGGTGAGTTGGCTTACACGCCCATCCGTCTTGGACAGTTCTGGGTCGTCCCAGCTGTACGACGAGCCGTCAACATGTTGGCTGAAGTATATCCCGACAGGTTTCCCATCTCGGAAGCGAATCATGTTGTGCTCCCTTTGAGTCAGCCTGTGTCAGCAAAAAGACGTCCATAAGGAGAGCTCGGCAGCCGGGGGGGGGGGGGGGGGGGGGGGGGGGGGGGTTTGGAGGGGCTAACAAACCAGTCGCCAATGTGGTCACCAAAGTGCATACCCGAGGCCGCCTCCCCGCCCTTGACGATGTGGTTGAAGGGCTCCAAGACCTGGGTGATGTTCGGGCCCTCGTTGTACGAGTAAAAGTAAAAGTAGAAGGCGTCCACATCGCGTTCGTTCTTGTTGACCAGGATCACGACGCAGGGCGTGGCGTTGTGGACTCTGCCGTCCGGGTCCGGGGCCGTTCCGAGAAGCCATGGCGGATGGATGGTGGGATCATCGTCGGAGGTGAGTGCCACGTCGTCCCCGAACTGGTTGAGGATCTCCAGGTTGTCCAGGTTCAGCGGCGGCAGGTCAGGCACTGGCTTCCGGTCCAGGAGCGGCGATGTGTGGCGGATGTGGGTGAGGAGATCGCTGGGCATATAGCGGTCATCCGAGTGCAGCCATAGAAGAGGTGCTGTTAACGTTGACTATTTAGGGTTTTCGTCTTTAATGTGCTGCATCGTGGGAGGGTGGGTGGCTTACCATGGCTGGTGACGTAGTCGGGGCACTGACGATCCGCGCCGTCCCGTTCCGCCAGGGTCGGGGGGGTGGAGCATGCGAGGAGACCGATCAGCAGGAGGAGGCTCCGAGGCCGGATCGCCTGCATAAAAGCAGATGCAGCATCGGCCATCTGGTATGCCTCCCGTTTCTTCTAGTCGTCGTTCGCAGAATAGTCTCTTTGCGTTAGGGAGAGAGGGGGAAAATAAAGAGAAAGAGGTACGTCGGTAGGCGCGGGACGCCATCAGTCAGTCGGCCGGTACGTATGTTTACCTAATCAACCAAAAGTGTGTACGTCAGCAACACCGTGGGAACCTCTCGGGGGAGGGCGGCCGGTTCGAGAGACCGGAACCCTCGGAATGGAGCCAAGGCGCGCAGCCCCCCCCCCCCCCCCCCTCTCTTTTGTGCAGTTTTCTTGCTGAAGGCATTCCAGGCATGCCGTGATGAGTCTTTCTTCCGCGGCCATATGTGGCATAATGAGCCGGATCGGGCTTCCGGATCGGGAGCCCTTCGTGACAGTAAGTAAAAATTGAAGAGAGAACATAGCGTCATGCTTGCTAGACAAACGGAGCTGGTCCCCAGGGTTCTCCATGTTGTGACAACACTTAGGTTTAGCCTCGTTCTCGTTATCTGCGTTGCAAAGTGCAGTAGTGACGTTGCATTGCTTGCAGGCTTTCCTTGTAACATCGCTCCTTATTAGTTTACAACAAGATAGTTACCGCATGTCTCAGCAGCGATTCTGGCTTAACGAGCACAAGAAGCGGAACAGAGTTTTTGACCGCATGCCTGGAATTTAGAGGCCCCAAGTCAAGTAGATATTGCATCCTCATAAGTTACTCTGGATAGACTTCGTCTCACCCGTTTGTGTTCGAGAGGCGTCGTGCCTTCCCATCGGTGTCCTCAGTCGATGAATCGGGGTTCCCAGGGTCAAGTGCTGATCTCGAGGCTGTTCCTGGTGTACGGCATCGAAACGTGGCCGTAAGGTTGAGTTGGGATGCCTAAACTTACCAGCACACATCGAAACGCGGCTGTGCCTTCAAATGGCAATACGGGCGGCGATAAGCCAGCCTGAACTCCCGACGTCGCAGCCACTTAAACATGCTTCCCGAGCGAGTCGGACTGTGCTGGTACCACTTGGCCCCAGAGGGAGAACACCGACTATCGCGGAAACGGTTAGTCGGTCGCTGCAACTCGTCGCTATCTCTGCAGAGGCTCCGTCCTTCGGAAGATTGTCGCTGGTTTCCAGGCCGTAGTCGACCTTGGCCGGCCCCGGCTCTCTAGCTGCTGTCTGCCAATTGGAACTTGATGGAACCATCGTCGGGATCGACGTGGATTGGGGCGTCTCCGCGATCCCCGCCCCCAGCACCCCCGGAGAAGGGCTCGATAGGCATTCTTTCGCGGGGATGTGCCATGGGTGTGTGCCTCTTACGTTAGTTTAAGCCTGATACAGCAATAATCGCCCCCCCCCCCCCTCCATCCTGCGCAGTGAACTGCTTACCTCCCCCCTTGTAAGAAAACGCTCGGAACTACAGTGCCGGTACCCTTCTTTTCCCTTTACTATTGGCGGCGAGGTAAACCCCACCGCCGGTACTTGCGGTATACGATGTACTTGCGACCAGAAGCGAGGAGACAACCAAGCTTCCCCAAGCTTTGCTGCCATGGGGGGGGAGCGCCCTCTTGGCTCCCACCCTGCGTCCTTGGTGGTACCACGTGGGCAAGCCGAGACCAGGTCGAATCACTGCTCGATGGCGATGCCGACAGGTTGCTGCAGCATAAGCTGGCGTGGTTGAAGGGGTTCGATGCGTGAATTGGTGTAGACATTCTACCCCGCAGGAAGTTTGACCAACTAATTCGGGGCGCGCGTGTGTCTCACTCTGACTAGGCTCATATCATGTATACCTCAGTCTCTGGTGACAGTTGCATAGTTCAATTCTGGTGGTGTGTGTGTGAGAGACTACATCGGATGACTTTCTCCCGTTCCCTCTCCTACCATGTCTCGAAAATCGACCGGCCAACCTACTTCCCCTTCCCCCGGCCATCTGCTCGCCCGACGCCCACTACGTCGCGCTGCATATCATGCATGGGACGAAGCTTAACCTATTCGCCTGTCGTTAAATTACGGGACGGCCGAGCCTTGTTCTTTCCAACGGGTAACTGAATATTTAACCTGAACCACCCCCCCGCCTCCCGTCGGATGGGACGACGCATGCACACTCGCCTACTGGGCATCGCGTCACTGATACCAACGGGCGTTGCTGACCACGTTCCGCGAAGCGTAGACTTGCTTTCACTGTATCGCGACTATTCAAGCAGACGCCATGGCCGAGCCCGAGAAGAGACTCGACGCAGACTCACCAGCGTACGTTTCTCCTCCCCCCCCCCCCCCCCCCCCCCTTCGCTTTTCATTCGTAAGATTCAATGATGCGGACCGAGCCGGCTTGACTCACACAATCCCGTGTATAGCTTCGCTAAGGATGGCGTCTACAACCACGAGGAGCGCAAAAAGAGCATCGCGGAGCTGACCCAGAACCTCGAGGGGGAGATCAAGAACCCCCTCCGGGGCATCCCCAAGGCCGAGCTCCTCGACCAGGTCGCCGACTACCAGCGGTCGCACGGCCTCCCCGACGACATCCTCCCGTTGCTGAAGAAGGGCGCCCTGGTCGCGCAGAACCCGGCCTTGTTCGAGGAGCTCGAAGAGCTCGACGAGGCCGAGAAGCAGGCGCTGCGCGAGGAGGTGACGCACCGGTGGAAGCACCCTTGGGCGCTCTACTACACCATCATCCTCAACTCCGTCGCCGCCGCCATCCAGGGATGGGACCAGGTAAGCTATGTCTCCCCCCTCCCCCTCCCCGTCCGCCTCTATTGCGCGCTTGTCTCGGGAACTGGCGCCACCTAGTCGTCGTTCCCGTTCTGTCCCCGCCGTCGTGCCTCGCCCGCCTTTGACGCGCGCAACATATGATCTAACGGTGCGCGCTGTGTAGACCGGCTCCAACGGCGCCAATTTGGCGTTCCCCGTCGCGCTTGGCATCCCCGACGCCGCCGGCTCGGCCTGCGGCCCCGTCGCGGACGAGGGCGAATGCGCCAAGAATAGCTGGATCATCGGTCTTGTCAACTCCATGCCCTACATCACCATCTTCATATTGTAAGTCTATGACGCGCACGATGCTCGACGCCGGTAGCTTCGTCGTGTGCTTGTGAGAGAAGCCCTCTTGACTAATCGTCCCCGTTGCAGCGCCTGTTGGATATCCGATCCCCTCAATGAGCTCCTTGGCCGCCGCGGCGTCATCTTCATCGCTGCCATTTTCTCGCTGCTTGCGCCCTTCGGCATGGCCGTCTCGCAGACATGGGGCCAGCTCGCAGCGTGCAGGTACCGAACCCCCCTCCCTCCCTCCCCTCCTCGGCATCATTTTCAAGCCACCACCTTCCGGATCACTAACCGCCGCTGGCAGGATGCTACTCGGAATCGGCATGGGTCTGAAAGAAGTCACAGTTCCCGTCTTCTCCGCCGAGAACTCTCCCACACTTATCCGCGGCGGCCTGGTCATGTCTTGGCAGGTCTGGACCGCGTTCGGTGAGCCTCACTCCAGCCCCCCCCCCCCCCCCCCCCCGGCACAATGAGCCAAGACGGGATGGGATCCCTTGATGTTTCTTGGTGCTTCTTAGGGTTCTCTTGGCTCTCTCTTGGCAACGGAATGAACCCCACCAAAAATACTAATTCGAGAAACGCACAAAAGGCATCTTCCTCGGCACGTGCGCCAACCTCGCCGTCGGCAGGACGGGCGACATCGCCTGGCGCCTCCAGTTCGCCTCGGCCTTCATCCCCGCCGTGCCCCTCGTCATCGGAACGTACTTCTGCCCCGAGTCCCCCCGGTGGTACCTCAAGAAGGGCCGCCACGTCAAGGCCTGGGGGTCGCTGCTCCGCCTGCGCAACACGCCGCTGCAGGCCGCGCGGGACCTGTACTACATCCACGCGCTGCTCGAGTACGAGGAGACGCTGGTGCAGGAGGCCGGCCTCAAGGTCACGAGCAACATGTTCACCCGCTTCGTCGAGCTCTTCACCATCGCGCGCATCCGGCGCGCGACCTGGGCCGCGGGCATCGTCATGATTGCGCAGCAGATGTGCGGAAGTGAGTACAACCCCCCCCCCCCCTTCTAACCCCTGGATCCGCGGTGTCAAAGTGCGAATTGACTGACATGCAAGGGCAGTCAACATCATCTCGTTCTACAGCGCGACCATCTTCAAGCAAAGCGGCATCAGCGACTACACTGCGCTCTGGGCCAGTTTCGGCTTCGGCTTGATCAACTTCACGTTCGCGTGGCCCGCCGTCTGGACCATCGACACCTTTGGCAGACGGACGCTTCTGCTCTTCACGTTCCCCAACATGTTCTGGACCCTGCTAGGTTCGTGACCACCAGACATCCCATCATAAGCCTCGGAAAACCCCCTTCGTCCCATCGCAGACTGACAAGCCCCTTTCTTAGCCGCCGGCCTCTGCTACCTCATCAACGACAGCACCGCCAGAATCGCAGCGGTGGCGACCTTTGTCTACCTTTTTGCCGCCTTCTACTCCCCCGGTAAGCCCCGCCAAACCCCTTCCAGAAACGCCCCGCCCAATACTGACTCCTCTGCCCCCCCCCTCCCAGGCGAGGGCCCCGTCCCCTTCATGTACTCGGCCGAGGTCTTCCCCCTCTCCCACCGCGAGGTCGGCATGTCCTGGGCCGTCGCGACCAACAACTTCTGGGCCTCGGTGCTCTCCCTGACCCTCCCGCGCATGCTCATCGCCATGACCGCCACCGGCGTCTTCTCCTTCTACGCCGGCCTCAACCTCGTCGCCCTCGCCCTCATCTTCCTCTTCGTCCCCGAGACGAAGCAGAAGTCGCTCGAGGAGCTCGACTACGTCTTCGGCGTGCCCACCCGCAAGCACGCGTCCTACCAGCTCGGCACCGTCCTGCCGTGGTGGACAAAGACGTACGTCATGCGCCGCAAGGTGGGCCCCTGCCCGCCGCTGTACCACGAGGAGAACTTCGAGGGCCGGCGCGGTGATGCATGAGCGTTGCATGGGTCACACACGTCGCGTGCCCCGCGCGCCTTGGATGGGGCTGTGGGGAGAGACGGGGAAGGATACGACTTTCATTGCGGGGAGTTACATTGGCGTCTGGTGCGGTAGTCTCCGCTGGGAGATCGTAGTATACCCCTCGGTAGTACTAAATATCAAATCCGTTGCCATCGAACATCACGCGCGCCTAAAGTTTCCGTTCCTGACAATTAAGACATCTGCAGAATTTGCGATTGTGCTATAAATGATTCATCGGCTCTGGACACAGCTCTACGCAGGGTCAATGCCGTAATAACAGAAACGTCCAACGTCCTCCACCCATATTCCCATCACCAAAACGACTCTAGAGCGTGTATCGGAACTGGAAAGGTCAGTATCAGTCTTTCCGACGGCTTGATGGGGTTACTCACGTAGGGGTTCTCGAAATCGGTGTAATCCTGCTCCCCGTACTCCTTGCCCCGCCTCGCCCTCTCCTCGGCCGTGAGACCGTCGGCGGCCATGTCGGCGTCCCTCTTCTTGTTCCGCCTCACCAGAATCCAGCGCCACGTCAGGATCAGCGTGAACTCGAGCCCGAAGCAGATGGCGCACGCGATGGTGCCGGGCGTGTACTTGGGCGCGTCTTTCGCGCGGAAGATCTGGCTGCCGACCATGTTGCCGACGCAGTAGCCGACAAAGGTGAAGCTGCTCGTGATGGTGCGCTTCGTGCGGCCGGCAATGTTGCTCGGGATCAGGGACCAGGCGAGGAAGAGGCCGAGGACGAAGGGCACGGTGATGAAGTAGCACCCCCACTTGGACCACTTGATGGCCGGGTCGTTGGGAAGCAGGGACATGCCGAGGAAGCCGGCAAAGGGCGGGAGCACCGCCGAGGCCATGATCCAGAGCCGGAGGTTGGCGCGCCTGCTGGTGACGAGGCCGACGGTGATGAAGATGATGACGGACATGACGGAACGGGGGATGTCGATGAGGATGGTCTGGAGGTTGGCTTGGGGGCTGTTAGCAGTTCGAGCCCGATATCGAAGAGAGCAAAAGGGAAGACGTACAGAAACCGAACGAAGTCATGATGATGTTGCCAAAGGTCGTGAGGCCGCCGTTGGGCACTGAGCTGAGAAAGGCGTTCAAGCCGGCGAACCAGAAGCAGGGGTCAACGAGGCATTCCCGGACCTGCTTCCACTTCCATCCCTTGATGGCGGTGCGGTCGTGGCCGGTGTTGTTGGACATGATGCGCGCGCTCGCCTGTTTTGCTGGTCAGCTGCCGACCCGGAACATGGAAGCCGTCAAGGAAACTTACCATCGCCTTCTCCGCCTCGCTCAGCCACTTCACCTCCGAAGGTGTGCCCAGGAGGAACAGGCAGAGACACCCGATGGCGGTGGTGAGACTGCCCAGGAACTGCAAGCTGTCAGATACCCGGTCCGCGTATGACGATCAACAGAGGTCGACTCACGTAGGAGATGTAGCGCCACGGCTCCGCACCCTCCTTGTGCTGCGTCGAGGCGCCGATGCCGTACATGATAAGGGAGGCGATGACGCCGAACCCGGCGTTGGCGCTCTGGAACACGAGCGCCCGCGAGGCGTGCTCTTGCGTCTTGTACCAGGTCCCCACGAGCAGGATGAAGCCGGGCGAGATGCAGCACTCAAAGGCACCCTGGAGGGCGCGGAGGACGATGAGGTGGGTGAAGTTCTTGGCGAAGCCGATGCAGAGGACGATGATGCCCCAGCAGATCATATATACGGAGAGGGTGCGGCCCATCTTGTAACGCTGGAGTAAGATGTTGCTCGGGAACTCGAAGCACATGTATGTGATGTCTGGGAGACTTGGTCAGCTTCTCGGGATAGGCGAGATGGCCGAGGGACCAGGGAGGAGGGAAGATAGCGTACAGAAGATGGTCGTCAGCCATGAATATTCCTGTCCCTTCAGCCCGGTATCCTCGCGCAGACCGAAGATGGCCTGGGTGCCGAGGGCGGTCTTGTCGACCTGCTGGATGCCATAGCAGAACCACATGAGCGGGAGGAGGTACTTGTCGACCTTGCGCTTGAGCTTGTGGAACTCCTCCTTTGTGTATCGGGCTTCCACAGAGACTGTGCCGATCGTATGTCAGCCGGTGAGGGAATTACCCAGGTGGGCTTTGCAGCCGTTCGCAAGAATAAGTGAAGGTACTCACTAAGGTCCGTCTCGCCATTCCTCTCGCTTGCGTTGTCGGACTGGTCCGTGACGACGGCGACCTTCTTCTCCGATATGGAAGCTTCCAGATCTTGAGACGATGCCATAGCTGCGGCAATCCTCAAAGGAACTTCGGGGTAAGAGGCCGGGTTCGAGGTCCGCTGGAGGTTCGCAGACAAGAGGAGATGGAACGAAATGGCGTACCGTGCTGATGGCGAAACAGCCGTCACGTATGGACATGGGACCTCACTTATATGATCACCACAGCCTCCATTATTGTCGTCCGCGAGTGGCCACTGCTGAAGGCAACGTAACCCCTCCTCTCAAGAAGTCGAGATAAGGGTTTCCGCGGAGAGGGGGGGGAGGGACTCAGCCGACGATCGCTGCCTCCAATGCTGGGATAGCCGACCGCAGGGCTATTCTGGTGGACCTGTGGCGGACGGCCGAACCAACATGGAAAGTGAACCATTCCAGCAGGCGAAGTTGACATGTTAGTTGGTTCTGTAGTAGTTCCGTGGGCGTCAAACATGGGTCCCATATCGCAGGCTATTCCCAAATCTTATTCGGGCATGCACCCATCGAATCGAGGCGATTGGAGACGAGTACAACGGATGTCCAATGATGTGATAACAGGCTCGAAGGATAAGTGAGGTCGGATGAAGGATCCCACCCCGCCGGATAACGAGACTCAGTCTTTAGAGGTGGCTATCCTGCAGGGATGAAGTTGACGATGTCACCCTGCGTGTGCCGCGAGGCTGCATCGCGTCTTGGCCGACGACGAAACGTCTGATAGGAAGGAACTTAATATGGGACATGATAAGGCGGAGGCGGGGCGATGACCGAATATCCCCTTACCGGCCAACGTTGTCCGACGACCGGACGCCGGAATCAGTCGATATAACGGCCTGCCTCCTTCGCAATGCAGCCAAACTAGAGTATGAAAGAGGGCCGGGTTCCCTTTTGCTGACTGCCAGGATGTCGATTCCACGACGGGGGGTGGCGGGGGAAGCCGGGGTAGTTCTTATCGCTATCCCAACCGCCAACATGGGAGAGGCGCCGGGTGGACCCGAATATGATAACAAATGGAGATGATATGTTGCCATCCGTGTTGACTTGTCCTCCGTGACGCGGCCAAAGGCGTGACGAAGATAGAAAAACGTCGCTGAGTTCGGGGTCTGCTTACATGATTCAAGAATAAACGACTGAATATCCTTGGAGGCTCAGGTTGCGGTTGATGGGACATGAACAGACGATGCGAGAAAAAAAACAAATCAAACTTTTTATTTGTATACAGACGCCGGGCAGATAAGCATGACCATGGCCCGCTATACGGCCTTGGAGGCGCGGGACTTGTTGACCCGGTGCCGCCTCTCCTTGGCGGCCGTTTTCCGGCGCTTCATCCATGACTGGTTGAGGTTCTTGCGGTTGTCCCAGAACCACTTCTGGAAATCGCCGCCGGGTCCCGCCGCCGCGCCACCGCTCTCGGCCTCGGCGTTCCGCTCCGCGTTCAGCGTTGCCTCGATCTCCTCCCGCGTCTCCTCGTCGTCGTCCTCATCGTCGCCCTCGGCACCAATGGCCCAAAACGGCTTCGTGTGGTTCGGGTGCGCCGTGTCGGGCGTGGGTGCCGCGCTTCTGACGTTGCGCCACTCAAACTCCTCCGCAGTGAAGGGGGTCATGGGCAGCTGGCCAGCCGCCGCAACATCTCCCTCGTCCTCCAAGTCGTCGTTATCGGCACCACCGCTGAAAAAGCTGAAAGGCTCGGCCTCTTTGGCGGCTTGAGGGTTCCCGTCATCGCCCTGCTTCGGGCGTTTGTAGAGTGCCTCGAGAGGGTGCACTTGCGACGGGGTGGAGGGCGGGGGTATCTTAATAGTAAGGCTGACGTTGGAGCCGGCGGATATGGGCCGCGATGCATCGGCAACCCTGATGGCAGACAGCGGGGTTTCAGAAACGGCTGGCCCAGAGGGCTTTGCAGCATCGGTCATTTCTTCGCCGTCGTCTGAACCATCTTCGGAGCTGCTGTCAGCCGACGAGGAGCCGCTGCTGCTGGTAGTATCGTCCTCTGTAGGCGGCGGCCTCGGCGTCTGCTTTGCAGGTGTTACTGGCGACGCCTTGGCCTGCTCCGGCTTATTGTCTGAGCCCTCGTCCGAGGAGGTATCTTCATCGGATGACGCACCGCTGCTGCTTGTGTCATCTTCATCCTGAGGCGGCGGCGGCGGCGGAGGGGCCTTGGCCTTCTTCGACGCCTTGGATGCTTTGGGCTCGGGGACGGGCGCCGTCGCCGTTCTCCTCGTCTTGGGCGGCTCAATGACGTTTCCCTGGGCGTCGACCCATCCTTTGCCTTCGACATACTCGGTGGTGAGCGACTCGACCGGCGCAGGCTTGGCGGCCTTGAGAAAGGTGGGGAACTTTGTCGTCTTCTCGAACTCGTGGATAATGACCTCTTTCGACCTCTTCTTGCGCTTCTTGCGTTCGGGTTCGTCCTCGGCCTCGGTCGTCGCCGGAAGCTGCTTCGCGGGCAGCTTGGTCTTGAGCAAGCACTCCTCCTTTTCGGTGTACCTGGAGCGCTCCTCGCGCTTCTTGGTCTTGTCTTTCTTGTCTTTTTTTTCCTTGTCCTTCTTGCTCTTCTTCTCCCTTATCTTGGCCTCCTCGGGGACGGTCCATCCTCGCTTGACCTTGCGATCGTGCAGCTGAACACCCTCGACGACGTTGTCGTCGCGCTTCTGCCGCTTCCTCTCCTCTTTATCCTTGGACTTCTTCTTCCGCTTCTTTCCCGTCTCTTCGTCTTCGGGAACAGGAGTGTATTCCTCGAGGGGATGGGCCTTTTCGATGCGCATCTTGACGCCCTTCAGCACGGCACCGTTGAGTTTCTTCTTGAGCTTTTCGGCGTCCGCCTCGGGAAGATCGACGAAGCCGTAGCGCTTCTCGGGAAAGGTCTCGATCGTGTGGAATGATAGGTTGCGGGCGTTTGGCAGGGCCGAGGAGGGGACGACAATCTTCAAGAGGTCCTGGTCGAAAGGAGTGATGTGCAACCTCGTGTAGGCGCTGCT